CTGTTAAAGCATTCAATAAATCATTTAAAAAAAAAAGAAAAAAGAAACAGTCCCAAATTTGATCCCTGTGGAACTCCAGATATAGCTCCATAGGCTTCAGACTTAAGCCCTATACGAAAAAAAACTCGTATTATCTTTAAGAATGATATCATAACCTTCATAGGCTCAACAGAAAATCCAAAATTTAGTAATTTGTCAACCAAAACGCTATGATGAACTTTATTAAAAGCTTTAGCGATATCCGTATATATTACATCTACCTGACTACTATTATCAAGAGATTATGATATGTACTGAGCAACTATTGGTAAATTAGTGATAACAAATATTTTGGTAGTGAATCCATGCTGATAAAGCAGCTGATTCTCAATTTCCGAATAAATGCGGCTGTACAAAATTATCTCAATAAGGCTTCTTTAAATGGGGAGGTAACTTTGGGGGCCCGGCCCTACATCAGAATTTCCAGTATAAGCATCAGTTTGTCAGGTCCACTCGCCAAGGACCGATGAATCATAATACAACGATATTCAATTACCAGATCAAGAAACCAATCCACGTCTGAGCGCTCCCCAGTTTCCATAATAACGAAAAAACGATTATGATAAACATGCATTCTCTTTTTTTTGAACGATATCGCGGTCAGATACGCTCCGCAGTAAATGGTCTAATTTTTCACTGTAACTTTTAATTGAGTTTTAATCACAGCCAGCACTTAAGTCTTATTTACAAGTGAGATATTCGACTACCAGGCCGCAATTTGTAACTATGTAAGATAACGTCCGACGACATAAGATCTTAATTATGTAAAAAAGCTCATAAAGTTACAAGGGTATCTGGGTATCTGTAGTAGTATTACCACTGTTGTATTAAACGTACCGAAAAATGCCGTTCCGAAATCAACAATTTTCGAGAGGCACGCGCATCTTTATCTAACGTTCTCCACTACTTCTACCAATAAATGTGTATGTTGCAGTTGTAACCAGTTTTTAGCTATAACGCATTTTGTATAGCATGTGCTTGCATTATAATTTCCTAGATGTAACTAGAATATACGTGCCCCTTCCCACTTCAGTTGGCCCATTTCAAGATTTGTACCAAAATATGTATTTATAAACTAAACATGATGAAACTATTTACTTCTAAAACAATTTATTTTCTCAAAAACATTTTAGATACACTCTAGTCGTAAAAAATACATATTTCACATAATCACTTAGACCTATAACTAATAGAACATCTGAACAAATCAACAATGTGCGAATAAATGCGCGAAGTTAACAAAGCAGCAATTGAGAGATTACCATTGGGAAACATCACCTTTATTTTTTATTACGGCTGAAATTCTTTGGGGCATAGTGTTAACCAAGTTTTGGAAAAAATTTGGTGTAAAACAATCCCATATTTCTTGAGGCTTTTGTCTCAGTTCGGTGATTGTACGGGCAGGTTGTTGTCGTAGAACCTTTTTCATCTCGTGCCTCGAAGTTTCAAAAGGTGACAGATCTGGGCTGCTAAAAACCCATTTCAAAAGTGGTACATTATTTTCTTCCATCCATTTTATAGCCTTTTTTGAGGTATGGCACGCTGCACCATCTTGCTGAAACACAAAATCTTGGCCGGATGTCAAACATTCTTCCATCACTGGTAAAAGCGATTCTTCTAAAATTGGCAAATATTTGTTTGTTTTCACATTTCCATCAATAAAATGAAGTTTTCCTACTCCTTTTGATGACATACTGCCCCAGACCATAATGGATGCTGGAAATTTCACTTTTCTCTTCAGTCAGTCAACATGGAATGCTTCATTTTTTTTGCGAATAACTCTACTGCGACTGTCACCATCACAAACTTCGAATCGGGCCTCATCACTCCATTGTATTGCACACCATTGTTGAGGTGTCTATTGTCTATGTTCTTTACCCCATATAAGCCGATTTTTCTTTTGCAGTGGAGTTAATAGTGGCTTCTCTTTGGCCTATAAACAAGTTGTGCAACTTTAGGGTTTTTACTTCACTTTTTTTTATAAGAAAACTTACCTTGCAAGTGCTAAATCCCAGTTTTTTGAGCCTCTCTATGAGTTGTGGACTTCAAAATTCTCCTTCCAACAGCGTCACTCCACAGAGCACTTAATTGTAAATAATTGGCACGCCTGTTTTTCACGATTATTCTTCTTAATGCTCTTCGGTCGGCATTTGTGATATTACTTTTTTTCACATATCGTGGCTTAATATTAACTGAACCAGTTATGTTATATCTTCTAACAATATTTCTCACACTGTACCGCGATAAGTCTAACAAAGTTGCAATTTCTGAGTTTGATTTCCCAGAATTAAAAAATTTAATTATCAGTAACCGAATTTTCTCACTAATAACCTTTCCTCTACCCATTTTGAAAACCTTAACTAACCAAAACTATTTTAAACGTATTCTGACAGCTGTGATTAATAAAAACAATTGTCATGGCTTTTATTTTTCACAGCCACCTATGCGTTATAGACTTATTTTGCATTGAAATGAAAATAGGTTGATATGCTGTAATTGCAACATGTGTTATTTTTATGCTGCAAATTTGATTAGGGGAGTATTAGGATACAGTTGGTGTTTTCTACTCTATATTATCAAAATATTCATTGTTAATATTTTAAACCTATAACACATTTTTATTATTTATTAGTGGGAAGGGGCTCGTATAACTTGGGGCATTAGAGGGCCAATATACATATATTATGAGCAAAATGGAAAACTAAATTCGAGGAAGCATTGAGCAATTAGGTAAGTTTGAGCAGCCACTTCAAGAAAAAGGGCGGCGGTGTTTAGTGGAAAGAACACAATACACAACATGACAATGCCAGACCACATGCTGCTTTGGAGTCCCGTCAATAAATTGTTAAGCATACTTTCAGAAATTCTGTTACGTCCCCACACATTCCACATCATATTGGCAAGGTCTCACTCAATCATGACGGCTATATTATGCGATAAAGCTTAACCTACGTGTGAGAAGTCCCGATTCTATAATTTTGATGTAAAGCTTCGAAGGTGCCTGGTATTTTTGTAAATGTTCTTAAGATCTGGTAAAACAAACCTACATTTTTCATAGCAGTTCTTTAGATCGATGATTCAATTACCACTCTGAATCTCAACTCCGTTGATCAAAGCAATCATATCAATTACCTGCTTCCAATTACAGAAGCTACATTTTTACCGACAACTCCGAATTTGTATAATTCATCGAACATTATACACCGCCGTTTCCTTTTTATAAAACATAATGAACACAAGACATTGGAAAAATGTACTCTCTCGGATAATCCGATTCATATTTTTAATTAGCCATAAAAAACTGAACTAACCTCGAGTAAAACTTGTACGCAACTTGCTAATTTCAATCTACGCCATGAGGGGAATGTTAAGTGCCTCTTAATACATTATTAATTTGTTAGAAGTACTAGCATATGTCATTGTAAATGTACATCAAAAGTTGGTGGCATTGCTTGGCTGCAAAAAATATCTTGCTCAGATATGTCTATACTTAGCTGGATTATAATGTAATTTGGTAGACAGGTCGCTATAAATCAGAAATGTATCAGACTGGGTCATATTATGTACAGCAAAAGTGCGAAAGGAATACAATACGCTGAGTAGCCAAACATATTTAAGCAACTATAATAGTAATACTAGGTTTAATGATAAACGCTGAAAGGAAGAAAGACATGGTTTCAATCGAGAATATATAAGTCACCTTTAAAGATAAATAAAAACGTCTACCATTGAGCTTACAATAACAGAAATGTGCATTCTATAAGAAGGGTGCAGAATCCAGAGAAGCATGGACTAGTTTTTTACAAAGCTTGTAAGGTATCGAAGATGCAAATGTCGGTAAAGCTAACAACGACCTTGACCATGCCCTTCAAGGTCACTGCAAGGTCAAAAAAATATTTTCAAATAGAATACCCCCTCTTTTAAACTGGAATTGAAAACAGGAGAAAACTTTACGCCCGAAAATAATCACTACTATAACATTGCCTATTTCCTTAAAGGCTATTCCAAGATCAAAAACGTCGAGAACAATTCGATCTAGCAAACATTTTCGACGTTCATGGTGATGGCCATATTCGGACTTTAAATTTTCCTTTCTTTTCAATTACTACGTATAAAAAGAGGTTGTTCTGTCTGAAAATATTCACCTGACCTTGAAATGACCTTGAATGACGTATTCAAGGCTATTGTCAAGGTCACCATCATTTTGCCCTATCGAAAGCCTACAAGTTTGGCGAGAGGCTCACTGCTGACGATTTTGCCAAGCATGTACGTAGATAAGAGCAAATGGGTTGAAATGCAACGAATAGTGTTGAACAAGGTATGTGGCGAGGAAAGCAGACATACAAACCAACAATATGTTTCTGTCAGCTGGGCACATACATATACATACGAGCATATGTACGGATAGAGATAACGGGTTGAGACAAATGAATTTGAAACGAATTTTAGTACAACGCTACCCATCTTGACGAAATGCTGTAATGGGTTCCCGTGGAGGGATGCATAGCAAACGACTGAGCGATATGAGCGAATATGCCACCTCTTCGTCTCCTATGATACCGCTGAAATCTTTGATGTAAATATTTTTTCATGCTTCATGATGAAAAAAGACAACATTGCTGTTTTTTGAATTGCTGGAGACTTCTGTTTGATTGAGATTTCTTTCAGAGGCTCGTCGTATCCACAATGTATAATCAGAATCACACATTTTCAAGCATCCCCTTAGTTACGTAAGTAATTATGTAATGTCGCTTGTTAGAGATTATACAATATTTCAAAAAAATAGTACGATAAATTGTAAAACATTTGTTCAATCATCGATAAGCATGTGCGACAAAAAAATGAACTAACAATTATTTCTCTTTATCTTTATCATAATATTTTTTACGGATTTTAATTGGTTTTATCAGTACTTTATGAAATACGTAGTTTTCTTCAACTTGCATTATTAACTGCACAGTACAGAAGTTACATTCAAAGTGCAAAATGCAGTCGCCAAAACTAACATCATCTTCTAGCTTTTCCTGGTGCCGACCTGGAAAATAACAGACATATCACCTGTAACTGCCACGGGTATTAAATCTTATTCAAATATCATAATGTGACTATCAAACGTTAACAAAGGGTTATCGTTTCATATATTTGCCTGCTATAAATGCCTACTTTGTGTATTCTGCAATTTAACTTGGTGGCGTTCAGGTAGCGGTATCTATTCGACAGAAATATATCAACTCAAAAGTATGGTGCTTTATTTCGATGGCTGCTTTTATAACAAAGGAAATTTATTTCAATACGTTGCAACTATTGCCGGTAAGTAAATAAATAAAATAGAATCACGTATAGCTTAGACATATACTTAGATTACGTATAAATAGGAAATTACATTCGCCAGGTTGAATTTACCAGCAGTTTGCTATGAATTTAGTTTTATTGTTATCTCATTGTGCTTTCAGTGTAATGGGAAGTGAAAACTTGCGATCTAAGCGACATTATTTTTATGGGAAATTACATTCTTAATTTATCCAAAGCTCACTGACATTGTAAGGTATATTCGCATTACATGAAACGTTGGCCTTACTATTTTTTTTATGAAAGCAATATGTACATAATATTATGAGGCACATATGAAAGCTTTAAAGTTGTTGTTCCTTTTATGACACGACTGAAGTTATAGTGTTTTACTCACAACATGCCATGAAGAAATGGGAATTGGTAGGCTCACCTGGAATGAAAAAGAGGATATTAGATTTGCTGCTAAGGAGCTAGATAAACTGTATTGGGAATTGATCCTTAACCTTTTGAGATAATTCTGTGAATGCATAAGATCAATCAAGATCTAAATACATAGATCGTTAATATAACACTTGAAACTTATTCTGCTCTTTTTAAGCTGATGGAACTCCATCGATTCTGGCTAAACGAAACCACATACCTATAAATAACTTTTCACTCACGTTTCGGCCACCATAGTGGCCTTTTTCGAAGTGCAATTTGATGAAAATTTGTTTTCTATATTTCATGTCATCTAACATCCATATAACTAGATATTTAATTTTCGAAATACTTCGTGATTACAATACTTTCTCGAAAACCAGCGTGGAAAGTGAAAGCATTCTTGTTTATTTGATAATATAACCAAAATGTCCAGATACTTGGCAGGGGTACTATCGATAATAATATAATGTTTATTATCACAAAGTACAATCGATGACTTAACAATGTAAATTATTGAATTATTATGGCGATGTCAGGAAAAATATTGTATATTTATAACTAAGGTAAAAGTATTATTTGTATTTATTTGTATGAAAGTTAGTGATGAGTAAAATATTCTTGATTTTGATATTGATTTTTCATGTCTACAATTTTGTGGATGGAGCATTGGTTGTTGTAAAATCCATTTCTTGAGTTCTTTTTGAAATAATGTTACTGCTTTAATTGCTTTTGATGAAAAAGTGATCGTTACGTAATGGTTTTTGATGTTTGTGGAATACACATTGGACTTGGATCTTGTTCTGTAGTTATAACGCTTCAAGTGTCAGTAAGATAATGTACTAGACCACTATAAAAAACAAATGTGTCTGCAATCTGACAGTCGAGCCTCCATATATTATAGAGAACGGCTTTGACAATGGATGATCAACCTTAAGATTAATTTTTGGATACCACCAACCTTTTTGTAATTATTCAAAACTTCCCTCATGTCAAAATAACGTAAAGTAGTAGAGGGTAAACAAGAGCATGATAAAGATTGTAGAGATATTTCCTATCCAGAATATCTTTAAAGTACCTGAATTTTGGAAAAATACATCTCAGTGTCTTCACCAGGTACTCTGTATGGGCATTCCACTTGTGTTTGTCCAGAATTACGTCTATGTATTTTATTTTATCGGTTGCCTGAATCTCGCCCTGCTATTCATTAAACTTTCTTTAAACATTCCAGGTGCCTTTTCGGTAATGAGCTCAGGGATCAATCTCGGATGGACCTCGCCATACCTGCCCAAATTGATGTCTCCAGCCTCCCACATCCCTATAACAAGCGAAGAGGGGTCCTGGTGTGCAGTGGCCCCGTTGGTAGGGGCACCTCCCGGGGCAGTCATAGCAGCCTTTTTTGCAGATAGAATCGGAAGAAAGAGGACCACATTGTTGATGGCACCGATCACCTTTGCCTGTTTTGTTACATTGGCCTTTGCAGCGGATATTTGGGTGATCACGGGGTTAAGGTTGATCATAGGAGCAGTAGAAGGCGGATTGTACACTGCCTTGCCTATGTATATAGGGGAGATATCGGATCCGAAGATTCGGGGGTTTTTGACAGCTACCATTGCCATATTTGGTATAACAGGTTAGTGAATAATATCTGTTTTTGTGTGTATTCTTTACTAAGTATAAAGACCATACAATCATCCATGGTCAGGGTCACTATTGTCACTACCCTTGGAATGTAATTCAAGTTTTTGTACCTTCTTGTAGTATCTGACCGAAACTAGTATTTTAGCAGAAATCGAAACCGAAATTTTGGTCTAATTTTATTGAGACTTAGGTAAAGAAAACTAAAATAGTACTACATCTGTCTCTTAAAACACAAAATATGTCTTTTTCCAACATTTTGTTAAAGAAAACATACAATATAACAAGAATAACAACTTATGACCTGTTGCACCAATACTATTTAACCTCTGTTTAATACTTAAACACCATTTACAATTTTGTGAACTGTGTTTAACTTAAACGTTCAACTTTTGGAGGTTAAATATCGCATATGTGTTTAGCCTTCAAAAATGGATTTTATTGGCAATGATGATTTTCTAAACGATGATTTGGGTATTTTTGAGCTAATAAATAGTAGTTTTCTATAGAAATTGATCAAAGACCAAAAGATAAAATTATTTCCGAGAGACTAGTAACTATGGCATTTTTTAGGAAATTTAGTTTGCACAGTTTTGAATGGCTGAAGTTGAACCTCAACTGGATTTCTTTAATAATTCGTTAGTTATCTACCATCTTTATTACATAAAAAAAGAGACTAGATTTCTGTAGGCTTACAAGACTCAAATTAATGTCAGTGGAACAGGCCATTAGAACGTAATCTATTAGACATAATTAAACAGACTGTTATTATATAACATGAAGGAAAAAAAACTCCTAGCAAATTTGACCTTTGGTGTGTATTACAATTATTGTCTGTTATCATAGTTTTAGTTGTTGGCTAGTTAAATTCTCGTGGATCACAGTATTATTTGTATTAAATCAACTTTTATAATCCTAGGATAGTGACAGTCTACTGAAGATTATTTTTATTTGTTGTACTATTTTTAGATACATGAACTTCAACACGACAATATTTACTTTGAAATTACAGCTGTCAGATTAGAGTACCGTATTTCGTTTTCGTTATATTGTAGTTTTCAATCCAAATTTTTTTTAATATGTATTGAATACTGATATATATTCATATCTATATATGTATATTTGTATAGGCTCTGCATGTTTAACTTTTACTTCAATTTCCATTGTTGTACGCATTATTAAACACTTTTCAGCATCGTACTTATTCTTGACAGTGAGATATTTGACACCTTCCGGCATTTTCTGGTATTTTTATTCAGATGGATGTTTTCAGAATTTATACTGATAATGCTAAAAATAAAAGAGTTACGTTAAGTCAATTTAAAAAATCTGAATCCGAGATAACGGAATTGATGCATGAATACTATATTTTAGCGTAAAAGTGAAGGATTTTATTCAGCGGCATAATGAAAACTTTGAAATATAATATACTCTCTCTCAAAATGGCTGGCTATCGAAGTTTTAAGTTCTTCTACATTACGTCACTTATAACTAACGGTGCATATTGTATCGACGCTTCCAAAAGATGGACATTGACATCAGGATTGATATCACGTTTTGATGATTAATCGTTGAGTTATTAGGAAGGTAATGCACAGAAAACTCTGAAATTTGACACTCTGTCAATTTGCCATTTTGAAAGATAGTGACATTATTCTGAGGCTGAAAAGTAATAATAAAGAACTTGACACTAAAATATTGTAGTTATCCATCAATGTTATCCGAATTACAACTGTATCGAATTGAAAAGTCTAGACCAAAGCTGCTCAACCTTTTCAACATTCGGGCCAAACGGTGGATTCAGACGTTCACGACGGGCCACTGACTATTCCTATGTCAGATACTTTCAGGACATGTGCTATAAAAACCAAATATTAATATAATTATTGTTTAATAGGTAATTTTATGAACAAACAAACCGTATATTAGGCTAAATAAAGAAACAAAATTGAACCTAGGAATGTATCTTCTCATATCTAATTCTAGGGCATTCTAGGGTAAATCGTTGTTTCAATCAATGTGATTTCTGCCACTGTTTGTCTTTTAATAATTCACTTATGTTAGGCGACAAGCCCGATATTGACAACAAGTCATAAATATGTTGCTCAGTTAAGGATGTGCGGTATTCATTTTTTACATAATTAAGGTCTGAAGACATACAGAATTATGTTGATCCAAAACTATTTAGAAACTGTAACGCCAGGTCAGTTATTGCTGGAAATTCTGCTTTTGCTACCAATTTCCAGATCTGCAAAATCGTCTGAAGAATTTTGTGCCTTCAGAGGTATACGGAGGCAAAAAGTTTTTTAACGTCATGATTTTGCAGTACAACGAGTTCCAACTGAATATTGGCGGGATAACTATTTCAGCCAAACTTATTATGAATTCATAAAAATTTGTACATTTTGTGTTTTGCTTTCAAAGTCTTGAAACCTCCTCTCAAACGGCTGTGATAAGCATCTACTTTTAGATTGCTATTTAGAATAATTAACAGTAGCAATATTGAGCTCCCCTTTCAAATGCGCTAGTGTGGGGAAAAGGTCAATATTTTCTGAATCCAAATTAATTGAAAAGATATTTAATTTTGCTTTGAATCCGCTTATCCAATTAAACAGTCGGAAGTGAACCTTACCATGTAATTTGATATTAAAAATATTAAGGTACTTAGACACGTCAACAAGAAATGCAAGATCACTCAACCAGGATGTATTCTTCAGCAAATCAATGTCCAATGGTAAAGCCACTTTCTGCTCTAAAAATTGCAACACCTGTTCCCTCAAGTTGAAGGAATGTTTCAACATGCTGCCCCTTGAAAGCCATCGCACAGCACAGTACACAGTTGTACCTCTCCATATTGCCTGAATTCTTTTTCAAATAATAATCTGAATTGACGGCTGTTAAGAGCTTTTGCACGTATGTAATTTATGCAACGTAGTACTGGATCATTACTGTACGTTGCTTCGTGGCTGACAATTTGGCGGGATTTTTCGATTTAGTGGCTATTTCAAAACTTACTTGTGCGAGCCATTTAAAATTCCTTCGCGGGCCAAAGTGTGGCCCGCGGGCCTGGGGTTGAGCACCCTTGGTCTAGACAATGTTTTCACCAGCACAAGCTATCGAACTTTCTTGTGACCAGACTTCATCCTCTTATCATTTCCAGGAACCCTCTTTATCAACGTCATTGGCTCCTTCACCGACATCTTCATGAGCAGTCTGGTGTGCTCCTGTATTCCAATCATACACCTGATCGCCTTTTCCATAATGCCCGAATCTCCGTACTACTACATCAAAAGAGGCAACTTAAAAGCAGCTAGGAAGTCCTTGGAGATCCTTAGAGGAACCGTAGATGTAGATGGTGAGATGGAGAGCCTCTCTAAAGCTGTTGTTAGACAAGAACGTACAGAGAAGACGGGATACTTGGATCTGTTCGCCGTACCAAGTAACAGAAAAGCATTTTATATTTATATTATACTTTGCTTGACCAACAAGTGGAGTGGAAAAAATCCATGCTTATTCTATACAGAAACTATTTTCAAGGAAGCTGGAAGCAGTATAGATGCTACTTTATCAGTTATTATCTATTGCAGTGTGGAGCTTCTAGCTGTAGCCACTACTACTTTCTTTATAGTAGATAGATTTGGCAAAAGACTTCTGCTCATATCTTCGACATTGGGCTGTGCAATTTCTGTATTATTCTTAGCTATGCATTTCTATCTGAAGGATTATCAACCTCACTTAGATGTGCAACTGGACTGGTTGCCTATTACAGCGTTAGTTGCTTACAACATTTTCTTCAGCATAGGATTGTCCTTTGGGCCAGTCGCTGTGCTTAGCGAGCTGTTTCCCACAAGCGTCAAAGCAAAAGCACTGTGTCTCGCTGATTCATTTTCAGTTACAATGGGCACTCTAGTCTCAAAATTTTTCCAAATCACCATGGATACTACCGGCACGATGAGTATACCATTCTTTTTCTTCTCTGGATGTAGCTTTGTTGGTTTGATTTTTATCATTAAGTACATACCGGAGACTAAGGGGAAAACTTTAGAAGAAATCCAGCATTTCTTGATAGGGAGCAAGGAAGAACGGGTGAATGAAGTTAAAATAGATAATTCAACTCGATAGTTTTTTATACAAAGCAACACTGGTTGTGGAGCCTCCAAATTGTAAGACTGATCGTAGCTTAAGTCTTTGTAATATATCTTGGTTATAATGTCGGAAAGGAAGTGAGTTATAATGATGCTATCTACTATGGACCCATAGTTTCAGAACGGTGTACCTTGTTCAAAGCTGTAGCTTAGCTATGTCTTGAAGTGTGGGACTTCTATAACATCTAAAAGACATAGGTAAAAACTAATAGAGAAATGACTACCAAGTGCTATGGAAATAGTTGGTTAAGAGGTAAGATAAAGTATAGAGCTTGATTCAAGGGTATGTTGAGGGGACCCTTAGTCTGGTAGGTGTGTAGTAAAGACTAAGAAGAACGAAATATGCTAAAGCAGCAACCAACTGCCACACATTGGTCGGTGAGGTTGAATGAAGAGACCTTTGCTCACCTGTGTCAACGACATTATTGTGAACCTTAAAGATAGTCGGTGATCGTTTATGGTACCGGCATATGACAATGCACTTCTAGAAGCCAACCGCTTCTACCGATTAATATTTATAACCTGTCTTAGCCACTCCTATAAAACATTTTCAGACGTTTAGCAGGTCATAACTCACATCGTATTATGTCAAATATATATTTCCTAATTCTATACACCGTATTTTATTCTACCTTGCACTTGTTCGCTTTCCATTTCACAAGCACTGTACAGGGTGTTGCTAAAGTTGGGAACAGAGTAACTCTGATGTGGGTGCTAGATCACTCAGGCAACGTGGGAAATGAAAGGGCGGATGAGCTCCACACCCTGTACAGGCCCAAAATCTGCCTTGAAGGTGCCAACGGGCAAAATAACAAACCAAGTCAAAGAATGGGTAAGAAACCAGCACAAGGAACATTGGCACTTAGCGACTGGATGTAGGCATGGGGAAGAATCTCTGGAGCATATCCAAACAAGACTGCGGAACTGCTCTCAATGGGTAAAAACCAACTCCGCACTGCCACAGGGCTTCTAAGTGGACACAACGGCCTGAAAGACCACCTGAGCAACATAGGGCTGTACGGTGGAGATCTTAGTTGGAGACAATGCGGAAAAGGAACAGAATCAGCCCTGCATGTCTTATACGAGGGGGTACCAAAAAAAAGTTATTTTTTAAAAACTATTTATTTTCAACTTTTTCACAAAGAAACCTTATCTCCTTCAAAATACTGTCCACTACAACTAATACACTTGTCCCACCAACCTTCCACTGCTCGAAACATTTTTTGAAGTCCTCCTTAGGAATGTCTGGCAGCTCCTCCCTCGTTTTTTTCTTGACCTCTTCAATGTCATCAAAACGGCGTCCTTTTCATCCGTGGAAATAAGAAAAAGTCGCACGGAGCCAGGTCAGGCGAATAAGGTGCATGAGGCAGCGGAACCATGCCAAATCGGGTATTTTTGCCCAACACTGTTTCGCAATCGCCTTAAAACCTCCAAATAGCAAAAGCTATAGAATTTTTTCAACATTTTCGTCAATTCGGGCAGTTGATGGACGTTCAGAGCGAGGTTTGCCATCAATCGACATGTCGCCATTTTTAAATCGAGCAAACCACTCCGTACACCTGAGTTTTTCCCATAGCATCATCTTTGTAAGCTAATTTCAACATTAAAGCAGTTTCAGCAGCATTTTACCAACTAGAAAGCAACATTTCACAGCTGTACGTTGCTCACCGAAGCTTACCATCGTAAAAAACGAAACAAGCACGAAAGAGCTCTAGCAAAAATAACGAATACAGAAGAACGAAACAAGCCAGATTGACAACTCGGGTGGCACTGAACTGGTAACGAGTTGCGCTGTACGCCTCTAGGGGCAGAAATGAGTACTACACAAGCCCCGCCCACTTCAATACTATTCCGGTTATTTTTGGGTACCTCCTCGTATAAGTGCACAAAAAAAAACTGGAACCGAGAGACTTTAGAAGAGTACTTACACGAAAACTGTACCAATTGGTACACTGGCAAAGCACAATAATACCTAGAGGTTGCAGTGCCATTGGGGAATTTGGACGGACGGAAAGGGAAAAAAGTTGTCTGTGAATTTTCTGTACATAGCGGATCGTTTCAATAATTAAACGAAGTTCAGAAGACAAAACTGTGATATTAAATCCTGCCTTGCCTGGAGTAAATAACTAGGTCAAATGCTACAAAATGCGTTATTATTCAATCCAGGCGCAGCTCTCTGTGCAGATAAACCGATCTGCTTGAAAAAAAAAACGAATTTGGCACATTTCTAGTATAGCACTGATTATCTTGTCAGTTTGGTGTTAGCTTATTGTGAGAGTCTTCAAATCACTGCTGGTCCTTTGCAAGTGTATTAAGATCGTTTTTCCAGACGTTTCCGTTTTGCGTCACGTATGTTTACTTATTTCGTACAAAGGCTCTTTGAATAAACTGCGAGGAGGGTACAGAAGACCTAGAGAGAGTCGAACATTGCAAATTAAGGAAGAAGTTAGAAATCTTGAGTTTTTGAATGGAAGGGCGACACCTTCGAGCAATATTTGGCTTTCTTCTTTGTCAAGTCCTTACCTTCAAAGCGTCCTGTGTTATTCTGAGCATCGCTATTAAAACTTTCTTGTGAATAATGTGTGTTAGACTGCTTTTATGTAATTGCGGTTATATTACCTTGTTAACGAGCATTCTTTTGCTGTAGTATGATAAATAATGAACATGTTTTGTTTATGAGTAAATGGGTATGAAACACGCTGAATTGTGTACATTCTCGTCTCTTGCGGTTCACATTCTCGTCTCTTGCGGAAATTATGTAAGAAAATATGTACAGAATGGTCTCAATATTTGTAGCAGATTCCCGTGAGTCTAGATGTCTTTTTACTCAAAGTGTTGTTTTGCTACAATGGTTTCGCCAATTCCATGTGACCTCAATTATCCAGGATTGTATTAACCTGTCGACATTATGTTGCTCTGAAAACCCGGACGAAATTATAGTTATAATAATAATAATACCTCATTCATCCTACTAACCACATAGTGATATAAAATAAGTCAGAAATTGTTTTTGTTTGATGAGAATTATTACGCACAAACAGTTCAAGTCTCACAAAATAAATTATGCGTGATGAAACGCCACTGACTGAAATCCTTGATAACTTCATACAGAATCGAATAAACAAGTGAATTTCAAAATCCAATCTCACATTCACACGCATTTCTGTCACCTGAGGAGTACGCGGTTGGTAATGTAGATTACTTGCGAAATTGAAGCGCACCTTGCCTTATAAACGCAGTCCCGTGCGAGATCTTTTATCTCAAGGGACATTTGACTTTCTAAAATCGATCTAGAATCAAGATCAATTTACTTATAACATTATTCTTCCTTAAATTATACTGTGCCATGATCATAATCTTATGAAAATGTCCCTTCTAGATTTTCGGCCCTGCACGTCTATTAAAAGAAAAACAGGCACTCTACACTAAATACATATTTAAGGCCAAATCTGATAGCCACATATGGAATGTTATTATTGAGGGACCTGAATAAGGACTTCGAGAGAATAAATAAGAAATTAGATGTTCTATTAATTAACGGAGCAGTAGCCCTTGTGTCATGAAATATTTTAAGCAAAGTTCGATTTGCGCAAAAAGGTTGTAAGCTCGACCTACAGAACGCCAGCTGGAATAAGCTAGACGCAAAATGACTGCAATAAATTCTTTTAACCTGTCTCCTGTTAGTCCTTTCTAGATCAAATGTTCCATGGTTAGAGACATGCTCCTCTGAGACTAGTTCAAATGACTACAAATAGCAACTTCAGAAATTGCTATAATATTGAGAATAGGCCCTCGACCCATCCACTTGCAACGTACCTGTATTACATATCGGCGCACATCCATTTTTTGCTCAAAACAAAAAAACCTCACGTATAATTGGCAGAACGCGTAAAAAACGTTCTTATTTTCATCGCATCTTTCTGTAATTTCATTGTCAGTTAAGCATCGCATTGCGTATGTTTTTTGCGATGCAGCGCGCATTTCTTAACGATGTCTCGTATGGGTGCGATTGTCAGTTAGAATTTGGCTGACTCACAGTCTATAACTAGCATCGTTTTCATGACGGTGCCCTTTTCCCTCGTTCATGAAAGCTTCTGCAGCTCCAAGCCGCCTACGTATTGCTAACAGTCGTTTTTGCTACGCAAATAGTTTTGTCCTTAGCCGTTGAGGTCGTACATTTTAGCATTTCCAAAATCGACGTCCTAAATTACCTCATTGCAATGGATCTGCAGATTTTGGATTGAGGAGCTTTAAAATCTATGACATACTGTTAAAAAAACTTCTGAAAATTCCACAGTGCGATTTATACTAACAGTAGCTAGATTATGCATCTGATGCCAGTTTTCCCCACGAGAATGACTATAAAAGACCCATTTTCCTACGTTTTAATACTTTAGGATTAGGCCATACCCTAAATGAGTATTCCAAATTACCGCTGTGTACCAAGGTTGAGAAACTTTAAAGTTTAATGAAGATATTCTTGCGATTTGCAACTACGGTGGAAGTCCGTTTTTGCGTAAATCGGATACTTCGGTCACGAATCTGACATCGACTTATCGCTGAGAACGACATCAGCCCAAACGCCCCATTTTTTTCATTCTCAATCAGGATATTAATGCTGTGCTGTGATCGAGGCCTCTCAAGATCAATTTTTCTATTCCGCAGTACTGTATAATTTTTTATATCCATTTAAACCAGCGCCCTGAAAGGTCTAGCCAGTTTTATTAGGTTGTAAAGATGACAATAATTGTTTTGCAGTGTATGGCTGGCTTAAGGTTTAGAGAACGGTGTTGACTCGTCAGCCTAAATAGCGTCCGTTTTACAATGGAGAGTCGTTGAGAATTTCAACAGTCATCCTCTTCAATCTGCGTACAATGCCACCACCAGGCTAATAGAAACTCACACAGCTCTACTGTAAATATCTCACATTGCACAGCTTCTGTTACCAGTTATCACAATCACTCAGCGTTGAATCAAGTGCTCTGTTAAGATTTTCTCGTCATACCGCAGATAGATTTTACATTTCGGGGTATTAGATTGTCGTCTTTGATGGAATCGTTTTATGAGTTGAGATAGAGTTGAAGTCACATAAACTTTTCTTCTTATGTTTTTCTTCTGTTCGGTTTCTTTCAAGCATTTCTGCAGTTACTGATGGAATTGAGCCACAACTGTGCCAAAATTCTACCTTAAATGTTAGTCGGAGAAAGGACATTCGTAGAAAGTCCTGCGGCAGGATTTGGAAACTATTATTTATAAAACCTATTTTCCATACTTCTAAATTCTGATAATATAAACAAGGATGATTTTTCTAAGTTGTTTTATCCAAGGTAGGTCTATTGAACTTGATGAACTGGTACTAGGATTTACAAGTGTTAGATATACATATAACAATAATTGACAACAGAATCTGAAAATATAGAAAGTTCTATGTAAAATTTTGAATACCATGCAGGTTGCAAAAAGTTAACTTTGCCAAGAGTAGAAAGCGCTTTCTCCAACTGTTGATTTTGATTTATTTGTATTTTATGTACATTCAACTCACCGCTTGACGACTATAATGTTTAAATAATAATCAAATGCATTTTGGAAAGTGAATCGTCGTGTTAAACATACCAT